CGGTCGGTGCCAGTGTATAAAGTCGGTAATTGAGATAATTATTCCCTATTTTAATTGCTCCACTTGACAACAGACAATTGTTAGAAAATTTCTACAAATATTCAGACACTTTTGTGAAACACTTCGTTCAAAGTTGAAAGAAATACTTCTTCCTCTGTCATGTGTGATAAATTTGATCTCGTTCCATCAATTTCTCCGCTAACAGAAGGAAAAATGTTCGATTGCGGAATAAAATTTTTTTTAATCAATCGAATAATAAAAAATCTCTGTGCGTAAGGATTTTAATAACCGTCGCGCGGCGAAAAATTTTGTTTAATTCTTGCTTGGACACGAGCGTCCGAATGAAAATCCCCCATTGCTGAAACTTTTACACTCGATATTCGCAGCGTTCCCAATGTTCGTGCCGGAATCAAGCGACGATACCTGTTGCAATTGCTTTAATAACGCTCGCAGGATCACGGCGTTCGAAATAATTAAAAGTACAATATTGTGTCGCGAAATGGAGAAAGAGAGAGAGAGAATTGAAGCACATGGACGAAGAGAGTTTTCTGGTCCAAAGGAATTCACAAAGGAATTTATTTTCGCATATTTAATTGAAATGGTTGTCGAATGTTGTATTAAAAAGATAAAACGTGGATATTAATTGCCGATGTTATTAAATCGTTCATTTTGTTCGCGTATTAAGCACGAATTAATTAATTCCCCGTGCCACGTCGCTTGTTATTTTTTTCTTTATATCGAAGCCGGTTAAAATAAAGCGTAATAGCGTATATCGATGAAGGAATTCGATGCAAAAAATAGTACGAATGAACTAAATTCACCTTATTTTCTAAATCAAACGTTCTCAGAAGCAACTAGTGCTTCTATATGGACATTAAAATGATGCATTGATCCTCTTGACGTCTAGCAACAAATATCTGATCTCAGTTTAAAGATGTTTATCGTCTTCTCAACTAGAAAGGAAAAAAAAAAAAAAAAAGAAAATGGGTTTGGAAATCGCGAATCGCAATATTTTCTGAACTAATAATCCTCTACCACAGTTTTTTCGAAACGTAGCAAGCGCAGCTGGGAACTTGTGTCTCTGTTCGCCGAAGAATGAGAAGATGGACAGGAGCAGGACGTGGACTCAGAAAGAGAGAGAGAGGAGGGAGTGCGAAAACTGACATCGAAATGACGATTATTATTTCGAGTGGTTGGCGACGGGGGCTCCGGTGATATTTTATTTAAGATACAATCGCGTAATAGCCTGGTTCAGGAGGTTAGATAACGCGGTGGATGGTTGCAGGTTCGGTGGAAAGGAGGAAGAAAGGAAGAAAGGAAGAAGAAATTGATGCCAGTGCGTGAGTAAGAGAGACAGAGAAAACAGGGGTGAGAAAACAGGGCGGAACCTGAGGTGGGATAAAGGATAAAGTTCGAGGGGAGAACAGCACGAGGACGGATGACTCTGCATTAGTAAATTAGTCGGCGTCCTCCATTGTTGGGAACGATAACCGCTTCTTTGAGCGTGTAACTATCCACTTACGATTGGTTTGTGCATCGTCGATTTGGTTTGATATTGGATTCCGTAGCACTTTTCTATGTTGAATTGAAAAACAACGTGCAAAAATTTCACCGTTCCAGCCACAAAGACTAGATCATCACAGAGTGATCTTAACATTTGTAAAAACCTCGTTTATTTCAACAACATTTTAATCCATAAATCGATTAAATGGACCCTTGCCTGTAATATAATATAAATATAATAGAATGAGAGAGTTACATTTACAATAGAGCTTCGTTTATTTCAGCGACATTTTAATCCATAAATCGATTAAATGAACCCTCGCCTGTTGAATTCAGTTGTTTGAACATGAACGAGAAATCACTTCCATCATACGAATTTCAATTACATTCAATTATTTGACAAATTCGTATAAATGGAGTTTCGCCTGTACCAGTGAATTCCACTAAGACTGTTTTCTCTTATTTTTGTTAGAAGTGAACAAACGTTCCTATTTTGCCGAATCGTTCTGGATTTAAACGAGCAAAGGGTTAATCAGATGCAAACGTTAGGAGCCTTTTGTACACACTTGCGTGTTCGTTTCCTATTGCTCGAATTGCTCGATCCGGTCAAAGGGTTTAATAAAGACCAGTGACGACAAGCGGGAAATCGGTCGTTGACAGATTTGCTAGACACCGCGACTAGCTGAAAATTGAAAGTAGAAACGCGTTGTTTGATAAGCGATCTCTGGCTCGCGGTTCGACGCGCGTCACAGGCCAGAGAGGAGAGGACATACGTTATTTTTTTTTTTTTTTTCCTGCCGTCGACGATGGAAACTTCGCGTGGAAACGGCTAACGAGTTCGCACATGGTAGGACGGCAGGACAACAACAGATCCGGCGTTCTCCTCGGCATGACAGCGTGAGTAACGCGTTCGATTCTCTATGGGTAGGACGACGTCGTCGTCCCATAGGTGGCCGCTGGCGTACCGAGAGCAAATCGATGGGAAAAAAAGTTCGGATACGCGCGCGAACGCGTCGATATGACGTTATCCAATTAAAAAAGCTGCCTTTGTGTAACCCGATCTGTCGTAGTCGGCAGCGACAGCCACGGTCTATGCCCGTTACTCTTCCAATCTAAACCAACCCCTGTTGCTCCGTGGCAGCGCAGCGGCCTGAAAGGCTGCATCCAATTAGTACATACCTTCTACTCTATTGTAGCGGGGCTATATGTGCGCCAACGATCGTGGGTAGTCGTGGTCGCGATATCTTTGCCAGTGGACTTTCTTTTTATTCAAAAAGAGAGAGAGAGAGAGAGACTAAAGAAAAAAAGAAAGAAGAAAGGATAGACATTAGAAAAAGAGAGCGTTTAATGAATTTGTAACGCTCGTTGAAATGAGCAGACCGGTTGATCATATCAGGGACATCGATTTATTTGTGCCCTTTGAAATTCTATTCTGTTGCAAACGGTCAAGAATATACATACGGGATGAACTGAATATAACATATTCCGATGAGCTGCCGCATGGATAAATTATTGTTGTGAAGATTTAAATACAATCGTAAACGTTTATGTACATGCAGTCAGATAGAGATACTTGGGTCGAATGCGTTTCGACATTTTAAAGTATAGTTTTTAACAACATACAAAGTAATTAGATTTGTTGTATTCTGAAACACCAGAATGTTCAGAATGTCAAACACCATGAATCTTTAATACAATAATAAAAGAACGAAAGATGTATATTGTATTTTCTGTAATGCGAGAAAAAAGATCGAAAACAAAAGAAAACGATAAATGTATTTCTACGATAGGATTGTTTGAATCGAATTGAAGATAATTGAATTGAATTGAGAATAAAATGTACTTAAATGAAATGGTTTTGAATTTAGCGCTGATACCTGTCGCCATCTTTAGTAGAACATCGCAACTCTCTAGCAAAGCTTATACCACAAAGTATATGAATAGACATTGCATCTCATGGACTTTCCCGTGACCTGAAATACCGACGTACTGAAAAAGAAATCATTGGTTTTTTCATTGGGGCGCACTCTACGTTTAAATAACAGTGAGTTTAGGAACTAGTGAATGTTCCAACAGATGAGATATTCGAAACCTGTTATATCAATATTCTTGAGATCTATTACAGTGTTGTCAAACTTTTAATAAACTTTTAATAAATGTGAAGTTAATAATCAATAAAATAATTAATAAAAGTTAACAGAAATCATTCTACTGTGAATCAAAAAGAGCTCTGTCCGTGTTTTACGAATTTATCACAATTTTTTTCAATATATAGTAAATTAAAATTTTAAAATTATTAATAGATGATTTTATGTACAAAAATTATATTTTATTAAACATTCTTAAAAACAATTTTTAACTATTTTAAATTATTATTAATATTACAATATTAAAATTATTATATATTCTTATTCACAGACGAGGTGTATGACCGAGATTCATATACCTCGTCTATGCTTATACTTTCTATAAAAACTCTTCGGATAATCTCAGAAAATAATGAATAAAATAATACATTATTTTACGAGTACGATTCACTGAAAACCATGTTTTTTGTTATTCGAATTTTAATTATTTTTTGCTACTTACGTTGTAATATAGAGATCGTGTCCATCGAGTTCCAGATACACAGTGAAGAGGGAGACACAGTATAATATCATGTAGCGACCTCTACTTCGAAGAATTTAGATCAACGACATCTATGTTCCGTCGAGATGTGTATTTAATATAAACAATAGAATATTTAAAAATAGCTATTAATTTTATTATCACCATAGAAATGTTTATTGACACTTANATATATTGTAGCCATAGTAGAAATTCTTCATTCGTTATTTCGTTATTTCGTCATTTAACTTCCATTATGTAATCTTCATTAAATTATTAGTAATTGTATATTTTGTGATATTGATAATATTTTTATATAAAAAACTAAAATTAATTACGAAGTTATTATTTATTTATAGTATTGTGATATAAATATAAATTATCATAATCACTACAATCATGTAGGAAACACGTAGTAGATAATGTAGAATCCTACCACGGGTTCTTAAATAATTAACGCAGATGAATTTTGAATAAATATATATTTTTGTATAACACACTTTGGTATAAATTTTATATTAAACGCTTTTGGTATGTGTTACTCAGCACTCGATTAGCGAACGAAGACTTGTACTCACAGAAAAACGCAGAAGGCGAAGAAGGGCTTTTCCTCTTCGCAACCTGGTTTTATAGCCTCTGCTTGCGAAGAGGAGGAAAACTTTTTTCCCGCCTTTTTCCGGGCTTTTATTTTGCGTTGTTTCGCCGAAGGTCGGAATTGGTGTACCATCTGCTGTGTAAATACTAAAAGGAGAAGCGGCGACATTTCCTTTTGCCGAACTAAGCGGCAATACAGATATGTCGGCTCCCGTATCTATTAGAAAAGCAATTTTATTTTTATAATCTGGAATCACTAGACGACTACTTTGCACGCCACCCAGCGTCGTCAGGGCTTAGTTTTCCGCTGGCGGTGCGATTGTGGGGATGTTAGTTTCACCCGGTTTTGGCTTCCACGCGCATGGGATTGAGCATCGGTATGCTTTTGCTCCGAAACGTCGGTGGTAGTAGCAGTGGCCCGTGGTCCGTCCTGCGGAACTGGAACGAGATCTGGAACGGGCCCCTGAACGGCCTCTCCATCTAGGTTGCTGCTCCCGCTGCGTTTCTCGCACTTCCAACGCCGTAAATCGCCTCAGGATTTCCGCCATTTGAGACACCAGGAACTGGCTCGCGTCCATTCTTGGCGCTTCCGGTCGTTGGTGCAGAAAGGAAGTCGCCATGTTTCCGTGGGTTATCGGCGCCGCGTGTGGCGTCTGTATCTCCATCACCATGTCCGCTATTGTGGCCAGCTTCGTTAGGTCTTTGTTCTCGATATCCATCAAAATATCGTGCAGGTTTTGGGGCACTTGTGCTAGGAATATGGATGTTAACAAGCTTTCCTCCAGTCTTCCTCCCGCCAAACTCCTCAGTCTGTGCACGTAATGGGATGGTTTTTCGTCACCCATCCTGCATGTCTTCAGGATTTGACGGACTCTTGCTTCTTCCGTTTGATCGTACAAGTCTAATAACCGCTGCTTTAAGGTGTCGTATTTGTTCAAAGCAGGCGGTGTCCTCACAATGTCCGCTGCGTATCTCAAAATTTCGGGGCGGAGTTGCGACAGCAGGAAAAAATATTTTCCCTCGTCGTTGGCGATTTTTGCCGTTTTCATCGCCGCTTCCGCCTGAATAAACCAGAATTCTGGTTCTTCTTTCATAAACGGCGGGACTGACTTAAATGCTAGGGCAGTTATCCAGTTGTCCTCTTCCTGCTGAGCACGTGGCTCCTCTTGACTGTTCCCCGACCTCGTGCGAATAGGGGATCGCGATGTGGCCATTTCGAGTGTCTCACGAAAGTTTATCAAATATTAGTAATAAGTTCGGATTTTTATATTTTTAATAGTTCAAATCACGTCGGGCTGTCACCACTTTGTAGGAAACACGTAGTAGGTAATGTAGAATCCTACCACGGGTTCTTACATAAATAATTAACGCAGATGAATTTTGAATAAATATATATTTTTGTATAACACACTTTGGTATAAATTTTATATTAAACGCTTTGGTATGTGTTACTCACAGCACTCGATTAGCGAACGAAAACTTGTACTCTCAGAAAAACGCAAAAAGCGAAGAAGGGCTTTTCCTCTTCGCAACCTGGCTTTATAGCCTCTGCTTGCGAAGAGGGGGAAAACCTTTTCCCGCGTTTTTCCGGCTTTTCCCGGGCTTTTATTTTTGCTCGGAAAAAGGTGTCGCTGCCTGTTTTACTGAAAACGCACCTTTCGACGGAAAGTTCCTGCGGAAGTACGTGGCGCTGTCTGGTGTTTCGCGGAAGTAGCGGTCGCTACAATCACGCATTAGAATCTTGTAAATAATCGTTTTTCATTTTCATTAATATTCCAAATTTCACCCAGTGTGAAAACCTGCGAATCATATTTACAATTACCACCACTGTATGAACACAGTTACGGTTATTCGAGCTTTAGACGTTACTACAATGTAATAGATTTCGAGTTATGCTCGGATTTTCGTTGTATTTAAAAATAATAAATTATAAAAAAATTATATGTATTGCGAAGTATTGCATTCATTACATATAATTTTTTAGATTTTCATTGAGTGGGCATTACAAACATTTCTTTCGCATGAATCGCACACAGACGAATATCTGTTATTACTTCCTATACAGAAACAGCACCTAGCACGATTATTGTAATAAAGGGATGATTGTATTTTAGATATCGATGCAGCGATGAAATTTCATATAGAGATATGTTATTCAACGAAAAACGTTGATCAATAAGTAGATTTAACCAATAGATTTGTAGCGTAAAATAAAATTGCTTAAAACTTAAAAAAATAAGCACCAAGCGGCGTTTGTTTGTATGGATGTCCCAGTGTTGAAGATAGAGAAGGGAATGAAGTAAATAAAATTCTTTTGTTTAAATCGAGTCTGAAAATTTATGTACTTGAAATTAGCTAATTCTGGACTGCAGAAGATTGATAGGGGGAAAAAAAAGAAAACTTTTTCGAACTAAAGTCGCATTTTTAAGAAAACAAGGTTCGGAAATGTTTAGTTAAAAATTACTTAAAATGATAAAGTTTTAAATTTAGTTTTCTCAAAAAAGGAACGTCTGTGAAAAATTGTATTATCCTACATTTTTGACTTTATTCTTAATTTTCTGGTAGAGTAATTTCCTGTTCATTATTTATTCCTGACCAATTCAAAATTAGCTAGATCCAAATACAGTTGATAAATTTTTAAACATGATTTTCTTCAAAGCGAAGTTCTAGATGAAACGAATTTATTTTTTATTTATTTATTTATTTCTTTTTGCACGTAGTATCATTCCTTCCTTGATTTTGACTTGCAATATATAAGAATGCTTACATAAGAACACTATTATTTGGATATCTATAATTTATCCGGGTCTTATTTTTATTCTCTCTTGGATTTTCAAACGTAAAACTCTGACTGTCCACAGATATTGTTTCAAGTACGCGATGAATGACGTGAATCTATGTAACGAAAACTACAACGACGCGTTAATACATGAAACTTACGTGAAAGTGCGTGAATTTATCGAGGCTCACAAAAAAGCTGCTGAGTTAGTATCGTTCCATATAGCACAGTGAGCAACAAAAAAATTGCAATCAGTTGCCAAATGTCTTTTAAATTTGATACGTGGAAAAAGTCGATAACTGTCATATACATTACTTTCTCATCACGTTGGGCTTATTATAGTAGTAGCATTCACGACTACTTTCGTAAGGGTGGGTTTCAATTCGTTATCAGAAATTTAATTGCGTCACCATGCGAATTACACAATTTAGACTCTATCACACTATGATTACAGTGGGAATACTACACCGTGTGTACTCTGCCATTAAAAAGTTTCGAAAGATATTTTATTCTTAATATTCTGTATTTAATGTGGACAAATTATTCAATTATAATAATTCCACGATATATATATATATATGAACCTTATACGAATTCATTGTGGTATAAAACATTTAATTGTTCTAACTTTAAAACAAATGTAGTACTTTCACCTGATGGCATGTGTATTCAATTGGTAAAAAACATATTAGTCGATTTCATTGCAATCATAGATTTATCCCATAGATTGATTTAATACATGGTATTATTTTCTGCGATTAGTTATCAGAGATAGAAATGGGATCCCGATTCTTGACTTTATGTGGGTTCACTGTCGGTCAATTGGTTCATCTGTTCTTTTTAACGGTAATGGGACAGTTCGTGGTCAACTCTAACGAAGAAATCTTTCAAAGAATGTACGATCGGTGACATATTGATGTTTTGAATTATAGGTACACTAGATTTTAAGGCACGTTTTAATATAACCAATCTGAATTCACAATATTGTTTAACATGTAGATACGAGTCCCAATGGTACAATTGTCCGTTGTGTAGAGTACAATCATTATATGTACTGGTGTTGCAAAAATGTTTGAACCCACCCACAATAACAGATGGATGATTGATACCTTTGAATTTGGACAGTTTCGTACAAGTCAGTTCACCGTCTTAGCAGAACATTTGATACTTTCAGAAAACAATTTATTGATTCATTTCAGGTCTTCAATAATTCCATTTACTAACTCGATTTCAGGTCTTGAAAGCATCCTTTTCGTATTATACAGTGTTTAGATCTATGTAAATTGAAGAGAGAATAATTACAAACTTTGAATGTTAGTAATATTTCTTTGATAAATTATATTTGTATTTTTAGGCAAAAGCACTTTTTTACGTTGCACTGGAATTAGTCACTTGTTAACAGGTTGTGTTTAACGAAATACATAAAAACATAATGGTAAGAGAACTTTGTTGAGCATCCACTTTTTTCAAATACAGTACAAATCCAAAAAACTACCTAAAGTCGTGTCAATCCTATTTTCGATATGTACATAGATACATAGTGAATGAACATAAAATTTCCAGAATACTGGCGAATGAAAGTTGTGTATTATTTATGTTGATACAAGAAACTGAGAATTTTTTTATAGAATACTGAAAACATTTTACAGTGAATTATGCGAATTTTAATTATTTCCTATGTCATGATCACCAGGTCGTCGAAAAAATGTGAAAACGATCACATAGACAACAATTTCACGTATCAATATTACGTTTATATTTTTACTTATGTTGCCTTCTTTATATTTTTATTTATGTTCACTCCTTATAGAAAACGTGGATTATATTTATGATCACTATTTTCATACTTAACACCGCTGTCGAATTTCACATTCAATCTGTAAATTATTTGTAAATCTTATTGTAAATCCCATATTTATTATAAATCTAAGCGAAAATAAACAGATTTGTTGTAATTTATTATAAATCTAAGCGAAAATAAACAAATTTATGCTTTAGGAAATCAGAGAGAAAAAGATTGATCAATAGTTGCGACTTGTATGAAAGTAGCAAAACGATTCACGAAATACTTAATTCAGGCAGTGTCTACTATTTCACAACGTGGAAAGCTGCATACCACAATTAATTTTTCATATTCTGTACATAGATCTACTTATCTACTTATCTACTTATTGCATTAAAATCGAAATTATTCTGTCCGATATTTCAGTGCTATATCGAGTTAATAGATAATCAATTTTTCTACGAACATCTCTGTGTAAATAATATTGAAAACAATATGGAAACTAAAAGGAAACAATTATCGTCCATTTTCTGTATGAATTAATCAAATCAATAATTCTCTCTTACTGCACTTATCGTTGCGGAGGACACGCATGGTTGAACTTATACCATTTGGTTACAACAGTTTGAACGGTGATGCATATGACACATTGCTCATAAAAGCCCATAGAAGATAAAACGACGTTAAGTAGATTGTTGTTTATATGATGGATTGGCAAACAGTTGAGGATCAATGTTTCAAAGACAACAAATTTTTCTCACAGCTTGTTGGTATATGGCCTGATCAGGAAAGAGTTACCAAATTTGTTAGACGCCTTGTCATACTTGTACTAGTTATTATTGCCATTATAACTGAGGTATCTTTTTTCTCTTTCGAAATGTGGCCGATCGTATTTCATCCATGGTCATTGTACATAAGAATTTTTCTTCTGTACAATTTACGTAGATGGAAATTACAAATATGAAAACGTAATAAAAGTGGATTTCCCACACATTGTAGGTATCACGGATAATACTATTTTACAGCGTGGACGCGCTGTTGGATCAGATACTGTACCTGGATATAGGTATAGGTATTTTAATCAAGCAGTATAATTACATTCTGAACGAGGAGAAGGTGAAAGACTAGTCAACATTCTACAATCTTTTCGATAACTATTTCGATGTCTTTAAAATTGTAGTTGAAGGAACTTTTGAACAACATCGTGACCGACCATCTAGTAAAACGATCAAAGGAGGAACAAGAAATTTTGGACACGTACTCCAAGAGAGCGATGCTCTTTTCTTTTATATATAAAGGTGATAAAGGAAACGAATAAATAATGAAAATTCATAAGGTTACTGTTGAAATTGCTATTACTTGTCAATGTGATTCCACAAAAATTGCTGACACAACATGTTCCATGGAAACGTTCTTTGAAGAATTTTTATATATTTATTTTTCTGATGAGGCACATCCCTGTACCATTGACTTGTTAAGATTAGAAAAATATCCTGCAAAATATCTCTTTTCATCAAAACTCAATCGTAATTGTCTCGTTTGTTTGCTGTCCAAGCCGAATGCAAATTATAATATTTCTGCATATACGTGAATAAAACTATCTAACAATATATCTTAAGATCAGTGAAATTGGCAAGATATATCTGCTTTAAATAATTCTTTTTCTCTCTTTGTATTTAGTCAGTATATGTTCTTCTGCGTTGATGTTCATCCTCATACCAGCAGTACCGCCAATTCTGAACGTTATAGCTCCCCGGAACGAATCACGAGGCCGCGAATTCATCTACCCAGCTTACTATTTTATGGATGAGCAAAAATATTATTATCCCATATTAGCGCATATGATATCAATAGCCTTAATACTCGCAGCTGTATATACTGCATGTGACACCAATTTGATTTACATCATACAACACGGGTGCGCCTTGTTTACCATCAGTGGGTGAGTGTACTTTAGTTTACCTTTTCATGCCTAATTTTAGATATCGGTATCAGCGATGAAATTTCATGTAGAGATATGTTATTCAACGAAAAACGTCGGTCAATAAGTAGATTTAACCAATTGATTTGTACAATAAATAAAATTGTTTAACTTGAAAAATAAATACCAAGCGGCGTTTGTTTACATGGGTGTCCCAGTGTTGAAGATAGAGAAGGGATTTTACATGGAAAAATATATACAACTCAGACGAGACTAATTGAAAATATAGAATTCGATCTTTCCGTGTAACGTCCCATTTAAAGAAAAAAAGAAACAGAGTTTGAATATGTTTAATTCAAAATAATTTAAAGAAATGTGTACTTGATAAAGTTTTAAGTTGACTTTTCTAAACAAAAAAACGAAGCATCTTGTCAAAAAATTGTACAGTTTAATCTACAATTTTTAACTTCTATTTTGATAAATAGAATAATTTCCTGTTCATAATTTATTCCTGATCAATTTAAAATTAGCTTAAAGTTCAAGTTCCAAATTTGACTTTCTTGAAAACAAAGTTTTACATAAAGCAAATTTATTTTCGATGTACTTTTTCACGTAGTATCATCACCACCTCGATATCTTCGATGCTAGGATGGCCTCTTTATTGTTTGAAACTCATCCGCATAAATGTTATCTACTGTTATGTTTTATTTTTATTTTCTCCTGGATTTTCAAACGTGAAACTCTTACTGACCAAAAGAGAAATGTCCGCAGATATCGTTTCAAGCACGCGATGGATGACGTGAATCTATGTGACGAAAAGTACAACGATGTGTCAATGTATAAAACTTACGTGAAAGTGCGTGAATCCATCGAAGCTCACAAAAAAGCTGTTGAGTTAGTATTGTTTCATATTGCGTCTTGAGTAATAAAAGTATATCGTACAGTGCCAGACGTCTTTTATACTATTCTTTTAAGTTAGATATGTGGAAAAAGTCAATGCCTGCCACTTATATTACTTCCTCATCGTCTTGGGCTTCACAATAGTAGCATTCACGACCACCTTCGTGAGGGTAGGTTTCAATTCGCTGGCAGAAATTAAATTACGTACGTTATTTATAGTTATTTATAAGTTTTATTAACTAAAGGATACAATTTAGTCACGCATCAGGTTATGATTATATTAGGATGAAAATATCTACTATACCGTAAGTCTACATTCAAAAGTCTCGAGAAATTTTTTATACTTATATATAATGTCCTATATTTATCGAAGACAATTAAGTTTAACAATCACATATGAATTCTACGATAAAATTATGAACTGTGGTATAGAATATTTAATTTTAGTTCTAACTTTAAAACACATGTAATATCTTCACCAGGTGACTTGCGTATTCAATTTGTCCGAAATATTTACTTGGCAAAAAAGTTCGTTAGAATCACTGAAATCACACATTTACGCAATCCTGATTGAATTCGTGACATTATTTTCTGCGATTAGTTGTCAGAGACAGAAATAGGGATCCGATTCTTCACGTTATGGGGGTTCACTGTCGCCCAATTGGTTCATCTGTTCTTTTTAACGATAATGGGGCAGTTCATGGTCAACTCTAACGAAGAAATCTTTCAAACGATGTAAGATTGATATATATGGTATAGAATATTTTAAATTATAGTGTACATAGGTATATAATGTATAGAATATATTTTAAATTATAGTATATAATTAAATATACAGTGTATATAGGTATATAGCGTATAAAATATTTTAAATTATAGTTATATAGCGTGTAAAGTGTAGTAAATATAGCGTTATAAATTACAGTGTATATAATATATAGTGTATAAGTTGAAAGTGCATTTAATACAATTTGAAGAACATTAGGCCATGTATAAAAACCGTTTTAAATTTGTAATTTCAATTAATATGTAGATACGAAGCCAAATGGTACAATGGTTCGTCGAAGATGCAATCGTTATTTGTATTGGTGTTGCGAAAGTGTTTGAACCCGCCCGCAATAACAGGTGGAGGATTGGTACCTTTGAATTTGGACACTTTTGTACAAGTTGGTTTGCCACTTTCGTAAAATATTTAAGAATTGCATTTAGAATAAAATAAACTGGCTCTTTCGTTTTCAGATCTTGAAAGCATCTTTTTCTTATTACACAATGTTTAGGCCTACGTAAATACAACAGAAAGTTATGAAGTAAGAAATAAAAATTGAGCGTTCGAATTTTAGTATGTATATTTATTGGATGAATTATGTTAGAGTTGTAGGCGATCATTGGGACGATCGCCATAAGAGGTTTGTGTCTGGGAAGGGGGATGGCTGATCGGACGACAATCCGACAGTCAATAAAGACTTTTGAGAAGGAAATATCTCACGCCTCGAATTCTTCACCCTTTATCCATTATAGAGTATTTTCAGGGTAGTATATTTTTTATGTTGCATTCAAATTAGTTACTCGTTGTTGTGAGCTTGTGTCAAACGTAAAATATAAAAACGTAACGAACTCTGTCAGTTCTTTCATAGCACTTCTATTTCTCAAACACGACAAATCCAATAATATCTGAAGTATTACCACTGTTACTACCAACGTACGCGTAAGTAACAAATAAGCATGACATTTCTTATGCATCTGAGAATGAAACTTGAAATGGGAATATCTGAGAAACGAAATATGGAACTACAGAAAAATAGAACTAACGAAATACAGAAAATATTTTACCTTCAATTGTATATTTGAATTTTAATCATTTCTGTGTACTTACGTGCAGAAATCATGTTCATCAAGTTCCGTACGCAAAGTAAAGATGGCAATATATACATGATTAATTCGATTTTATATTTATGCATCTTGGTGCTCCGTGTTTTACAGCAATACCAAAACCTGTGTATCATATTTGCGATTACTATTTTTGAACATACCACAATATGATTTAGTTGTCAGAATGAAACGATTTTTAATTGACTGTCTTGTACCCAAGTTTTTTTATTAATATCTCTGAAATTAGTAAAGTTCCACAGTTAAAATTTTACATTCGAGGTGCTTTCCTCATTACTTCCACTCATCTCATTCTGACAATTGGGTCGTATCGTGCTATTTTTATGTTTAACATCATTTGATCGAGTTTCAATTTGTAAAATTAAATGTCACAGTTCTTTCTTCTTAGGGTGAAGATTATAATAGAACGATAGAAACTTGTCGATGGTTTAAATTGCTTTAACTTTGTAAAAGGAAATCGTAGTACAAGCCACATGATCTCATTTTAAAGAGTACTGCTTTCAAAGTCTTGATCTTTGTATGACTAGGACTAATATTTGACTTTCTTCTTAACAACAGTTTAAATTGTCGATAATTCTTCATCGTTATTAATCCAGATGAATTGAAACAATTTCTTTCAATTTATAGGATTTCTATTACACATCGCACACGAAAATATATAAATTGAAAAATACGTGTCTTGGGAAGCTGAGAAAAAAAAAGTTCAATAGTTGCTAGTTTGTATGAATGCACAAAACTACTCTTGAGATACGTGAACCAGCAGCACTGTCACAATATTAATTTTTCATATTCTGTACATAGAAACACTTAACCACTTTAGCAGCCGACAGTCATTACATCGAGTTAAAATATATTGAGTTCTTCTACGGATCCATTTGCATAAATATAGAGTAGAATGGGAAACGTAAGACGAATCCATCATCTGAATGAATTAATCAAACCAGTAACTCTCTCATATTACACGTTGTCATTACTTGCAAAGAATGTATTCAACAAACGTTCCAGTTTGTTTCATCTGACTACTCTATACGATTATGAACTGGCGAACAGTTGAGGATCAATATCTCAGAGATAATAAATTTTTCGCGCAACTAGTTGGTGTGTGGCCTGATCAGAAAAGATATGCTAAACTTTCTATACGACTTGTTATATTTGTCGTTGTCACTGTTGCCATTATAACTGAGGTATTTCTTTCTTTTTATCAAAACGTGATGATGTTCCTCACCTGTGACTATCGTGTAGTAAAACTTTTTAATATAGTGTAAATGTGACAAATGTAAGACCGTAATGGGCGTGGTTTTTCTGTACGTTATAGGTATCGCGAGTAGTAATATTTTATAGTACGGACGTACTGTTGGATCAGGTGGTGTATCTGGATATAGCTATAATAGTTTTAGTGAAGCAGTACAATTATATCCTGAATGAGAAGAAGGTGAAAGACCGATCGACAGTTTACAATATCTTCAATAATTATCCTTGTCCTTAAAAATTGCAGTTGAAAGAAATTATAAGCGAAATCGTGGCCGACCGTGTGATCGAACGACCGAAGGAAGAACTGGAGATTTTGGATACGTACTATAAGAAGGCAATAATCTTCTGCTCTATATACAAAGGTAACAAAGGGAACGAACAAATTCAATTCACATTACAAAAACCAACATCGCAATGACAATCAGCAACGGAAATTGATAATTCTTCTGCTGAAAGTGCTATTTGAAGAATATTCTTATGGTGTTTCTTTATATGGTGACAGCCCTATGTCATTGTAAAGATGAACGTTTTGTAAAGTAGCTACATACAGTTCTTATACTGCGATAATGTAACTGCAACTCCAAATGCAGTTTAAAATATTTTTGCTTATATGTGAATGTGATCTGACGATCAATGAAATTGACGAGGTGTCTGCTTTAAATAATTATTACTCTACTTCACATTTTCCCCCCTTTGTATTTAGCCAGCATATCTTCCTCCGCGTTGATGTTCATTTTCATACCGGCCATACCACCTATACTGAACGTCATAGCGCCCCTGAACGAATCACGTGGCCGTGAATTCGTCTACCCAGCTTATTATTTCGTTGATGAACAGCGGTATTATTACCTTATACTAGCGCATATGATATCAATGGCGTTAGTACTAGCAGCCGTATATATTGCCTGCGACATCAATTTAATTCACATCATACATCACGGGTGCGCTTTATTGACCATCTGCGGGTCAGTATACTTCAGAAATGTGTTTGTATGTTTCTCGAATTTTTTTCCTATACAGATTGTTGAGAAAAAGAAATGCGCGGCTCTAAAGATCGATAAAACCCATGTAAAAACATCTCGGTTAATCTTGTTTTCAAAATTACTGTAAGAAGAACGAAGTTTTTAACTTGACTTCTGTGAAACGAAATAGTTTGTAAGCAGCAAATATATTTGCAGTATAAAATGTAACTGCATTGAATTTGAATGATTATGTCATGAACTCCATTATCTCAATGTCTGGAATTCGATTGTAGTTGTCATTGCAGACATCTGTTACTTTTCGACCTATCTGATTAGACGTGATTAAAAAAATTATATATATACAGGTATCGCTTCAAGCACGCAATGGTTGATGCGAACTTTCGTGACGAAAAGTACGACATATTAACGAGAAAAACCTACGCGAAAGTGTGTCGATCCATCGAGGCTCACAAAAAAGCTGTCGAGTTAGTATCATTGCATATGATATAATAAATTAATAGTGAATTTTTATGTTCTGGAAATTCTAAACTACGAAATTGCACACGCTGTGCATAATATCCAATTTACAGCTCTCTTTGTGACATTCAATATTACGCAAAATAACTTTCTAACAAGTTCCTCTGTTTTTTCTTTTTTTTTTCTTTTGTTATATTTTTAAAAATATGAATTTGTATAAAAATTCGCAGTTCAATAATGTACAATAAATGTATCGTATTTGTCAGTATATTTTTTCTCGTGGTAGGTACGTGGGTAAGATCGACGCCTGCTATGTGCATTACTTCTTCCTACTCTTGGGCCTCATAATCATAGCATTCACATCCACTTTCGTGAGGGTAGGTTTCAATACACCAATAAAAATTTAACTGCATTATCATTGTTATTGAACAAAGAAGAGCACAACTTGAACTTTAATTAACAGACTTACACAATGATTATACTGAATGTAATGGCCAGGATACAATCTTGCATATGTGTTGTGACACTTTTTGGTTTTCATATTTATCAAAGGTAATTAACTTCTTTTGTTGCAAATATATTCCACAATAATCTTTTTATGAATTCTTTGTTGTATAAAATATTATTCAACTTTACTAATTATGAAATGAATGTACTAGCGGAGGTATACATTTGTTTGACGTATTAGTGCAAATATATACATATATTTATTTGACGTATTTATATTTAAAATCATTCTGACCATAGACTCCACTTTAATTAATATACGAAAATTAATTTCATAAATGATTTTATTATCTGTGATTAGATATCAACGATGGAAGTGGGATCGAGGTACTTCATATTTTGCGCGTTCACTGTTTCTCAATTGGTTCATCTACTCTTTGTGATGATAATGGGACAGTTTATGGTCAATTCCAACAATGAAATCTTCCGAACAATGTAAGATCGATCGAAAATTTTCTGGTACAACGTTTTCAGTATTCGTATATTTGAAACAAGCTGTAAGAATTTCATTGATTCGAAAACATGTTCCAGTTAAGCCGATTTAAATTCACGATATAATTCGTTGTGTAGATATGAGGCCAAGTGGTACAATGGTTCATCAAGAACGCAATTGTTGTATGTACTAGTATTGCGAAAATGTTTAAATCCGCCTGTATTAACAGGTGGAAAATTGATTCCTTTGAATTTGTATAGCTTCGTACAGGTTAGCTGAATCACATTCGCAGAATCCTTCAGAGTATTGCTTTCAGAAAACAATCGACTGATTTATTAACGATTAATTCTTTTTTCAGGTCCTGAAAGCATCTTTTTCGTATTACACAGTATTTAGCTCCAAGTAGTTTGAAGAGAAATTAATGTAAATTGCAAAGGTTTGAATTTTAGTATATTTCTTGAATAAATATATGTTAATATTTATGTTAGTATCATCGACCAATACATTTATATTCGGATCAGTTAGTTGTTATTAACATTTTTTGTGTTATGCATAAAATACACTTAACATTTCTTTGGTATTTCTTGTCTGACGTATTAATAGTATTGCCAACATACTCGTACGTAGGTAATAAGAGTGAAATTCTTGGAGCATTTACATTGTTTTTCACTGCAGTATAACGTAAGTAATTAATAAAATTTTGACGACTCGTTGAAGATACTTCAATTACTTGAATTTTAATTATTTCTGTCTACTTACACGGCAATGCAGAGACCATGTCCATTCATACACAATTATGATTACTATTTTCATACTTAACATTACGTTGTTGAATCACACATCGAGTTTATAAAACTGTAAATGTTCCGGGTTTACGGATCTAAATAAAAATAAACTTCCATCTGAAAGAATTCTTTCTACGTATCACACGCTTGTGTGCTTCAGAAAATTGGAAAGAAACAACAAATAATCGATCGAACATTACTATTGAAAGCACAGGACAATTCATAAGATGCCTAAAGCAGTTACGTCACAATTAATTTTTCATATTCTGTACATAGATCCACTTATACACTTTATCGGAACGAAATTATGCAACCTGCCATCTCAATACGACGTCGAATTAAAATATATATATACTCTGTTTTTCAAAGAATCTCTTTTCCTAAATAACAGCGTATCCATCGTGCATCGTCCAGTAGATAATAACGACTCCACTTTTCGCATAGCTTCCCCTTATTATGCGTTGTTACTGCTCTTACTGAGAATTACATATACGTATGAATTTTTCCCTGGTTACACGATTATGAATTGGCAAACAGTCGAGGATCAATATCACAGAGATAACAAATTTTTCGCGCAGTTAGTCGGTGTCTGGCCACGTCAGGAGAGATTCGCGAAATTTTCTATGCGACTTGTCATACTTGTTATAGTCACTATTGCCATTATAACCGAGGTATTATTTTCCTTTTCTTAAAATGTGACTGACGATAACTCTCGCCTGTGTCTCTTGTGGAACTGAACTGTTTGACGTAACGATACATACAAATGTGAGATAGTAATGGGAGTGATTTTACGTTATAGGTATCGCGGATTGTAGTATTTTATAGTGTGGACGTGCTTTTGGATCAGGTTGTTTATCTGGATATAGGTATAACGGTATTAGTGAAACAGTACAATTGCATCCTGAATGAGAAGAAGGTGAAATATCGATCGACATTCCACAATATCTCTAATAACTATTCTTGTCCTTAAAAATTGTAGTTGAATGAACTTTTAAACGAAATCGTGGCCGATCGCATGATGGAACGCCCGAAGGAAGAACTGAAGATTTTGGATACGTACTACAGGAAAGCGATAATTTTCTCCTCTATATATAAAGGTAATAAAGAATAAATTTATGAATAAATTTTTACATTAGATACTCTTACTAAAAACAGGGATCAGCAACATAAGTTGACAATTTTCCTGCCAAAAGTGTTCACATATATCAACGTTGTTCCGAGAATGTGAAATATATTCCTGAAATTTAATCTCAAATGAATCTCAGGATCAACATTGAAATCGCCGAATCTTGTCCGCTATAAGTGGTTATCATTTTACTTTGCACTTTATTCCCTTTGTATTTAGCGAGCATATCTTCCTCCGCGTTGATGTTCATTTCTATACCGGCCATTCCACCTATTTTGAACATCATAGCGCCCCTGAACGAGTCACGAGGCCGTGAATTCGTTTACCCAGCGTATTATTTCGTTGATGAACAGCGATATTATTACCTTATACTAGCGCATATGGTATCAATGGCTCTAGTACTGGCAGCTGTATTTATTGCATGTGACATCAATTTGATTTATCTCATACATCACGGGTGCGCTTTGTTAGCTATCAGCGGGTAAGTGTATTTTAATAGCTGTATGTCTATGCTCTTAGCCTTTTCTTTACATGCTCCTTGAAGAAGAGTAATGCCTGACTCTAGACATCGACATTCACACACAAATATCTCGATTGATGGTTAATTTTCAAACTAGAATAAATAGAACGAAACGTGTAAGCGAAACAGAGAGACAGAAACTCGTTAGCTAACTGGCAAATATATTTGTAGCGAATAAAATTAAATTGTTTGAAACTTGAAAAATTTCGGCATTGTTATCTCTATGTCTAGAATTCATGTATATAAATATCACCTCTTTTAGTCTTCTATTCTTATTTTCTGTTCTGTTTTTAAACGCGAAATCTCGGCTACACCTCACCAAGGAAATAATATACGCAGATATCGTTTTAAGCACGCAATGGATGATGTGACTTTATTTAATGGAAACTACAACAACATGCTGATACATGAAGCTTACGTAAAAGTATGCCGATCCATCGAGGGTCACAAAAGGGCCGTCGAGTCAGTATCATTGCATATTGCATAAACTGTTTGTTACAATTTTTATATATTTTTTTGTCACATTAGATATGTGCATAAAATCGACGCTTGTTACGTCCGTTACTTCTTCCTACTCTTGGGCCTGATAATCGTAGCATTCACATCCACTTTTGTTAGGGTAGGTTTCAATGGTCGCTAACAAATATTTAATTGCGTAATTTTATCACTGTAATGGAAAGACGCAACTTAGATTTCAATCAACAGACATAATATACTAAGTACTTTCAATAGAGATATCTACACGTTTGTTTGACGTGTTACTCGGTATACAGACTGTCAGAATATAAATCAGGCTGTTTGATTAATACATGGGAATTAATTTAATAATAATTTTATTTTCTGCAATTAGTTGTCAACGATGGAAGTGGGAACTAGATTCTTCACGTTTTGCGGGTTCACTGTTGCACAATTGGTCCATCTGTTATTTTTGACCGTTATGGGACAATTTGTGGAAAATTCCAATGAGGAAATCTTTCAAACAGTGTAAGACCGGTATACAATATCGTGGAGCATTTTTAGTTTCAGTACATTCGAAACAAGTTATTGTAATTTAATTGCTTTAAAAACGTGTTACAGTTAAGTCGAATTAAATTCACCATGTAATTCGACAGATACGAAGCCAAATGGTACAATGGTTCGTCGAAAACGCAATTGTTGTATGTACTAGTGTTACGAAAATGTTTAAATCCGCCCATACTAACAGGTGGAGGATTGGTTCCTTTGAATTTGTACAGCTTTGTACAGGTTAGCTTGCCACTTTTGCCAAATATCGAAAAAATGCTTCTAGAATTGACTGATTTATTAACGACTGATTTTTTTTTTCAGATTCTGAAAGCATCATTTTCGTATTACACAGTGTTTAGATCTACATAATTTGAACAGAATTGCAAAGTTCCAATTATAGCATACCTCCTGGATAAAATACATTAGAATTTACATTAGTATTATAAGCTCGTATGAATTTTGCACGGTGCATTCGAATTTAATTGCTGTTAATATTTTCTGTCATGCATAAAATACAACATTTTCTCGTTATTTCTCTTATTGCGTTTTCTACTTTTTTTCAAGTATAATAAATTCCAGAATAAAATTCTTATTACGTAGCAGTGAATTGTTAGTGCATGAATTCTATTTTTTACTTGAGTAATGTAAATAACAGACACTGAAGAAACGTGGGAAATAATTTAGTTTTAACTGCTTCAACTTTAATTATTTTCGTCTATTTATATGAAAATATAGAAATCATGTTCATTAAATTTTATACAGGTATTTCACGTATAACAATACTTTTGCTTTCACTTATGTTCCCTTTTTTTATAATAAGACGCAAATATCAGATCACACTTATAATTATTGTTTTCACACTTTATATTACATTGTCAAATTCCACGTCTAACTTGCAGACACAAGTATATAAATTTAAATGAAAATGAACTCTTCTCATTTGAATAGAATACCTTTTGCACATCACATACGAAGATATTTTAATCTACACATCAATTACAGAAAGATTTTTGCTTCGGAAAATCGTAAAGGAACGACATTAGTCGACTGCTGCTACTTGTATGAAAACATAGAACTTTTCAAGAGATACCTGAAATACCAACTATGTCACAGTAAGAAGTACATCCAGAAATTAATTTTTCATACTCTGTACATAGATCCACTTCTCCACTTCGCCGCAACAAAATTATTCTGCCCATCATCCCCATACAATATAGGATTGGAACACTTCATTTCTCCAGGAACCTTTTCTGAATAATAACATGTGAGAGGAGAAAGAAACATCATTCAGTATAGAGCGAATCTACTTTTTGCATTAAACGAACAACTCTTTCTTATTATATGCCCTTACTATTCTTGCTAAGAGCCATACATACGTTTGAAATTGTTCCATCTGGTTACATTTCGCACAATTATGAATTGGCAGACAGTTGAAGATCAATATTTCAGTGACAGCAAATTTTTCGCGCAGTTAGTCGGCATCTGGCCACAACAGGAGAGATTCACCAAATTTTTTATACGACTTTTCATATTCGTTTTAATCATTGTTGCCCTCATAACCCAGGTATTATTTATCTTTTCTTAAAATGTGACAGATGATATTTCTCACCTGCGATGTTTCGTGAAATAATATTTTTTGATATAATACATGTGAAAAATGTGAAACCTGTGAAACCTAATGAAAGTGATTTTTCTATACGTTATAGGTATCTCGGGTTATAGTATTTTATAGTACAGACACGCTGATGGACCAACTGATATATCTGACTATAACTATAATAATTCCAATTAAACAGTACAATTACATCCTGAATGAAAAGAAGGTGAAGCATTGACATTTTACGACAACTCCGATAACTATTCCTATTCTTAATATTGTAGATGGAAGAACTTTTGAGTGAAATCGTGATCGATCACCTGATGGAACGGCCGAAGGAAGAACTGGAAATTTTGGACACGTACTATAAGAAGGCGATAATATTTTCTTTTATATATAAAGGTAACAAAGAAAATAAATGAACTTTCACATTACCAACTAAATTTTTACAAACCAATACCGGAGTATTAAACCAACATGTTGTCGTTGATAGTTCTCTTACTAAAGTTGTTGACTCATGTCAATGTTGTTTCATACATTTTTCGAAAAGTAGAAACTTAAGATCATTGAAATTGCCGAGGTAAGTTCGTTATACAAAATTATTACTCAATGTTACACGTTACTCCCTTTGTATTTAGCCAGTATATCCACATCAGCCTTGATGTTTATCCTCATGCCGGCCATACCACCTATTTTGAACATCATAGCGCCCCTGAACGAGTCACGAGGTCGCGAATTCGTCTATCCAGCTTATTATTTCGTTGATGAACAGCAATATTATTATCCTATACTAGCGAATATGATAGCAGGAGAACTAGTACTTATAGCTGTATATATCGCCACTGATATCAATCTGATATATGTCATATATCATGGATGTGCTTTGTTGGTCATCAGCGGGTGAGTATACTTCGGTATTGTGCATGTTCTTTGCCCTTTTTTTCTGTTATATATAATGTTGAAAAAAAGAGGTAAAAAATAAGAAGAACGAAATAAGAATGAAACGGAGTCAAATGACTGATTCCGCTTATCAAATGTGTTTGTGGCATAAAATAAAATTGCTTGAATTTTGAAAAATTTTCGCCAACAGGCATTGCTTCGTAAGAACTTTCCTCGTTATCTCCAGATACAACTAGAATTCATCCGTATAAATGTCATCAATCTTTTATTCTTATTTCTTCTACTATTTTTAAATACGAAACTTTGATTACATGCAATAAAAAGAAAAATAAAAAGAAAAAGGAAAAAAATATGCACAGATATCGTTTCAAGCACGCGTTAGACGATGTGAATCTATATGATGAAAAGTACAACGATGCATTAATGCATGAGGCTTACGCGAAGGTGTGCCGATCCATTGAAGCTCACAAAAGAGCTGTCAAGTTAGTACCACTGCATATTGCGAATGAGCAATAAACATCCCGTACATACTAAATATTTTATACATTTTTTTATCAAATTAGATACATGCAGAAAATCGACGCTTGCTACGTGCATTATTTCTTGATAGTCTTGGGCATGACAATCGTAGCATTCACATTTACTTTCGTTAAGGTAGGTCAATGCGCTAACAAAAAATGAATTGCACAAGTTTTATCGCTATTAAAGAAAGGAACATAATTTATATTTCAATTAATAAATACGATTAACGTTACAGTAACGATGAATGTAAGTGCAAAGTTACATTTCCAGATGTTTGGGACACTTTCTACATTTTGTATGCGTTATATGTCGTAAACAATCAAATCTCTTTCAATTGGAAAGATATTCTATAATTCAACTACATATTATAATATAATACATATTATATATTATATATATTATATTATATTCTTTTTACGAACTCTTTGCTATATGAGATACTATTCTTCTTTTCCAGTTTTCAGAAGAATGTTTCAAATATATAGGCATCAGTATATAATACTTATTTGAGACGTATCAGTCGATCATTGTGATCATAGACTGTACACTGTTTAACAAATACGTGATAACTATAATTTTATAAATGATTTTATTTTTTGTGATTAGCTGTCAACGATGGAAATGGGGACAAAATTCTTCACGTTTTGTGTATGCACTGTCGCTCAACTGGTTCATTTGTTATTTTTGACGATTATGGGACAGTCTGTGGAAAACTCCAACAATGAAATTTTTCAGACAATGTAAGATCGACAAATAATATTGTATAATATTTTCAATTTTAGTACATTAGAAACAAGTTATAGGGATTCATTCAAAAATATGTTCCAATTCAGCCGAATTAAATAATTCACAATACAATTTCGTATTATACAGATATGAAGCCAATTGGTACAGTGGCTCGTCGAGAACACAGTTACTGTATGTACTAGTGTTGCGAAAATGTCTAAACCCGCCTGTGCTATCAGGTGGAGGATTGATCCCTTTAAACTTGTTCAGCTTTGTACAGGTTAGATTACTTTCGCAGAACATTTAACTATTGCTTTCAAAAAATAACTGACTGATTTAATAACTGTTAATTCTGTTTCAGGTCCTCAAAGCATCTTTTTCGTATTACACAGTGTTTAGGTCTGCGTAGTTCGAAGAGAAAGTAATTCGAATATACAATGTCCGCACATTGGTATTATTGGCTAGTGCGTCTTTCGCGTTGCATTCGAAACATTTAATTATTATTAACATTTGATATTACGTATAAAATACAGTATATCTTTCACTGCGTTTTACATTTTATTAACTCTATATATACATACACATGCATGTATGCCCGGAATGAAGTGTCGAGTTCGACATAATAGCTAAAGAATTTTCGATAATATATGTAGAATCAGCAACACAGTTTATATTTTTTTATTCTAATTTCCCTATCGCCAATAACATTGCAGTGCAATACTTACCTAAATCGATAGCTAGGACGTGACATGAAAACGGTACGGTGACAAACATGATGTGAGACATGGTCACTGGAGAATTGAATGTTTGGTCTATCCCAATTAGTCAATGATGTCTTCTTGGGTTCATCCATACATTCTTTCGTAGCAATTAACTATTGTCAATATGTACGAACTTCCATAGCCAATCAGAATGAAATTCTCGGAGCACTTGCGAATGAATATCGTTTATTACTGCAACAACATAAGTAATATAAGTAAATGAGAAATTTCCAATTCAGTTTTAGTTAATTGAAGTTTAATTATTTCTGTCTAATAACATGAAAATGCATAAATCATGTGCACTGAATTCAATACCCAATACGAAAATGACGACATATATACATGATTCCAAATAAAACAATAATTTGCTTTTATTTTTATTCAGGTGCTACTTTTTACAGTAATATCTATATCTGTGGATCATATATATGATTATTCTTTCCATAACACTATATTGTCGAATTTTACAGTCAGCTTGTAACACTATGTCTCAGATATATGTATATCTGAATGAAAATAAACTCTTACAATTTTTAGAATTCTTTCTATACATCACACACTTCAAAATTTTTCAGTCGAGAAAACACTTGTGCCTGAGAAAATAGGAAAAGGAAAACATTGGCCGACTGATACTAAACGCATGAAAGCAAAGGACGATTCAACAAAGTACTACATTTAAACTATTTCGCAATATGAGGCGTATACATCTCACAATTAATTTTTCATCTTCTGCATATGGATCTACTTATACACTTATCGCATTATAGCTATTTTCCTCGGCAGTCCTACAATTTTCTAGAAGTATCCTCTCACAAGTAATAGCATAAAAAATGTAAGGGNTGAAAAATGTGAAACCTGTGAAACCTAATGAAAGTGATTTTTCTATACGTTATAGGTATCTCGGGTTATAGTATTTTATAGCATAGACACGCTGATGGACGAGGTGGTGTATCTGGTTATAAGTATAACAATTCTAATTAAACAGTACAATTATATCCTGAATGAGCAGAAGGTGAAGCATTGATATTTTACAACAATTCCGATAACTATCCCTATTCTTAATATTGTAGTTGGAACAACTTTTGAGCGAAATCGTGATCGATCACCTGATGAAACGACCGAAGGAAGAACTGGAAATTTTGGACACGTACTATAGGAAAGCGATAATATTCTCTTCTATATATAAAGGTAATAAAGAGAATAAATGCACTTTTACACTACTAACTAAATTTTTGCAAACGAATACCGGAGTATTAACCAACCAACGTGTTGTCATGATGTTAGGAAATTTTGTAGAGTAAAATCTTAAGATCATTAAAATCGCTGAAGTATGTACGATATACAAAATTATTATTCTATTTTGCACTTTACTCCATTTGTATTTAGCCAGTATATCTACGTCAGCCTTGATGTTTATCCTCATACCGGCCATACCACCTATTTTGAACATCATAGCGCCCCTGAACGAGTCACGAGGCCGCGAATTCGTCTACCCAGCTTATTATTTCGTTGATGAACAGCGATATTATTATCCTATACTAGCTAATATGATAGTAGGAGCAGTAGTACTTGCAGCCGTATATATAGCCTCTGATATCAATTTGATATATCTCATACATCACGGGTGTGCTTTGTTGGCCATCAGCGGGTGAGCATACTTCAGTACTATGCATGTTCTTTGCCTCTTTTTTTTCTCATATATATAAATTTAAAGAAGAGACAGAAAGTAAGATGAACGAAATAAGAATGAAACGGTGTCAAAAGACTCATTCCGTTTAGCAAATTTGTTCGTAGCATAAAATGAAATTGCGTGAATATTGAAAAATTTGCGCCAGATGTCATTGTATCTCAAGAGGTCTTCTCGTTATCCGGATATGTCTACAATTCATCCCTATAAATACCATTTTCTATTCTTATTTCTTCCACTATTTCTAAACACGAAACATTGATTACATGTAATAAAAAGAAAAGAAAGAAGAAAAAGAAAAAAAAATATGCACAGATATCGTTTCAAGCACGCGTTAGACGATGTGAATCTATATGATGAAAAGTACAACGATGCATTAATGCATGAAGCTTACGCGAAGGTGTGCCGATCTATCGAAGGTCACAAAAGAGCTGTCGAGTTAGTATCACTGCATACTGTATAATGACCAATAAACATCTCGCACATACTCGATATTTTATACATTTTTTTGTCACATTAGATACTTGGAAAAAATCGATGCCTGCTACGTGCATTACTTCTTCCTACTCTTGGGCCTCATAATCATAGCATTCACATCTACTTTCGTTAGGGTAAGTTAATGCGCTAACAAAAATTGAATTGCTCAAGTTTGATCACTATTATTGAAAGTCACAATTTAGATTTTAATTAACAAATACGATTTACGTTACGATCACAATGAATGTAGTTACTTATCAAAGTTACTTCTAAATGTCTTGGGGCATGTCCTTTTTATACTCGTTATTCGACGTGAATAATCAAATTTTTCAGCTGGTTACATCTTCTACGATGCAACTATGACATATTATAATTATAACACATATATATAATATATAATATATAACATAATATATAATATATAACATAATATATAATATATAACATAATATATAATATATAACATAATATATAATATATAACATATAATATATAATATATTATATATTATATATATTATATTATATTCTTTTTACGAACTCTTTGCTATATGAGATACTATTCTTCTTTTCCAGTTTTCAGAAGAACGTTTCAAATATATAGGCATCAGTATATAAATATATAATATTTATCTGAGATGCATTAGTCATAATGATCATTGTGATCATAGATTGTACACTGTTTAACAAATACATGAAATTTAATAAATGATATTATTTTTTACGGTTAGTTGTCAACGATGGAAATAGGGACCAGATACTTCACGTTTTGTACATTCACTGTTGCGCAATTAATCCACCTGTTATTTCTGACGATTATGGGACAATTTGTAGAAAACTCCAACAACGAAATCTTTCAGCGAATGTAAGATCGATAAATAGTATTGTATAATATTTTCGATTTTAGTACATTTGAAACAAGAAGTAGGGACTGATTCAAAAAAATGTTCCAGTTAAGCCGAATTAAATTCACGATAAAATTCGATATCATACAGATATGAAGCCAATTGGTACAGTGGTTCGTCTAGAACACAGTTACTGTATGTACTGGTGTTGCGAAAATGTTTAAATCCGCCTGTACTATCGTGTGGAGGAATGGTCCGTTTGAATTTGGTCAGCTTTGTACAGGTTAGCACTATTTTCGTTGAAAGTATTGCTTCCAGATGATAATTAACTGATTCAATAAATATTAATTTCTTTTCAGGTCCTCAAAGCATCTTTTTCGTATTACACAATGTTCAGATCTGCGTAGTGTACTTCTTAGATAAATTACGTTAGTATTTGGCTAGAACATTTTTTATAATGTATTCGAAACATTTAGTTATTATCGACATTTGGTATTACACAGAAAATAAAGCATTTCTTTCTGCGCTTTCTATTTTATTAATTGTACATATACATACATACATATGTATGTATTCCCGCATTGAAGTGTCAAGGTCGACATAAGAGACAAGGAATTTTCGGTAATACACGTAGAATCAACAACATAATTTATATTTCTTTATTCTAATTTCCCTGTCGCTAATAATGCTGCAGTGCAATATTTACCTAAATCGATAGCTAGGACGTGGCATGAAAGTGGTAAAATAACGAACATAATGTGAGTCATGACAGAAAGCATTGGATGTCCGGTGTCCTAACTAATCAATGATGTATTCTTAGGTTTATCCATATATTTATCCGTAGCAATTAACTATTGCCAACATGTACGTACTTACGTAGCCAATGAGAATGAAATTCTCGTAACATTTGCGAACGAATATCGTTTATTACTTCAACAACATAAGTAATATGAGTAAATGAGAAATTTTGACAAGAAGAAAATCAATTCAGTTTTAGTTACTTGAATTTTAATTATTTCTGTCTAATAACATGAAAATGCGCACATCAAGAGCAAAGCGCGATTCACCAAAGAACATATCAGTTCTACTACAAACATGTCAGTTATTCAACAATACGAAGCATATACAGTCGATTACGAAAATATTCGGACACCAGTACAGATTTGATCTTTATGTTCTATATTTTATCTAGATGTACAAAGGACTAAAAAAATGTACTACGCTATGATAGAGTGATGTTTTTAGATAATAAAAATGCACAAATCTTTCATGTATTGCGTATCATTGTTTAAATAAGGGAAGAAAATCGAAAAAATATGTAATTTGCAGGTCACAGAAATATTCGGACACCGTGGTATATTGTTAGTATATATGACAATTTGTTATTTCTGCGAAAGCTTTAAGTACAGCTTTTTAAGTATAATGTTTGTAAGCATAATGCAAGCTACAGAGAAGGTTAACATCATCAGTTGTATTCTAAATTCATTGAGAATTTCGTTGTAAAGGTAAAAACACTTTTTTCGACATACGTCAGTTAGTGATTTTCTACCAGGAAAAAAAAAATCATTTCGAGAAATTTCAAGTCTCTTAAATATCAGTAAGAGCACTGTAACGGACATAATAAAAATATATAAAAATGAAGACAGAATTGATATTATTCGTCAGAGTGGATGTCCGCGTATTCTAAGTGTTCGTGATAGACGTGACATTATCAGAAAAATTAAAAAAGAACCACGGACAAGTGCTCCAAAATTAGCAACAATGCCTGAAGAAGAACGCGGTATCACTGTTCAGCCAGAAAACGTGCGAAGAGTAGTGCGTGCAGAAGGTTACAACGGCCGAATAGCCAGAAAAAAACCATATATTAATGCCAGAAACAGAAAGAAGAGACTTCAGTTATGCTTACTACGTAAGAATACATTTCAAAAGAAGATGAGTGGTGGGGTAATGTGATTTTTGCCGACGAGAGCAAATTTAATGTGTATGGTGGCGATGGAAGAGCCAGAGTGCAGAGAAAGCGGAAAGAAGAATTAAACCGAAAATATTTACAACCTACCGTAAAACACGGCGGCGGTTCGGTAATGGGAGTGCATTTCAGCACGCGGAGTGGGAGAACTGATATTTACCGACGACATTCCTGACAAAAATAAATATGTGAGCATTTTATAAAATTAAAAATTTTTAAAAAAGTGCTACCAAAATGGGGATCGAACAAGGATTGAAGTTTTATCAGGGCAACGATCCAAAACATAAAGCACGGATTGTTCAAGAATTTTTGCATTATACCTGAGCTAATGTCTTACAGTCGCCTTTACAATCGCCTGATTTAAATTCCATCGAAAAGTTATGGGATGAACTGGACCGGCGAATTCGAAAAACCACCATAAAATCAAAAGAAGAGTTAAGAAATCATCTGATGGAAGAATGGAACCACGTTGATATTAATTATTTACAAAAGATTATTTACAACATGCCAACACGTGTAAAACATGTTGTGCAACAAAAAACGGATATCCCACAAGATATTAATCTTTAGTTAAAAATCATTATATTAATTTTGTAAACATAATTGTAATAATGTCCGAATATTTTTGCGACCTGCAAATTAGCGATTTCTTCGATTTCCTTCCATTATTTAAATAATGACACGCAATAAATAAGGGTATTGCATTCTTGATATCCAAAAACTATCCAAATGAGTATTTTCAATGCCACAATGCAATTAAATATCTTAAAATTTGTACATACTTGTTAATACCTAGTATACTGGCATCAGTGCGGAATGTATAAGAATATTCGATTTTGATAAAAATCTGCAAGTGATTTCAAACTTTTGGCCGGTAGTGTATGTAAATCTGCATGAAAATAAACTCTTTCAATTTGTAGAGTTCTTTCTATATGAAACACACGAAAATATTTCAATCGAGAAGCATTTGTGCTTGAAAAAATACACGAAGGAGAATATTGGCCGAGTGATACAACTAGTATGAAAGCAGAGGGCAATTCACCAAAGTACTACACACAATACATATCAGTTATTCCACAATACGAAACGTATTAATTTTTCATCTTCTGCATATGGATCTACTTATGCACTCATCGCATTATAGCTATTTTTCTCGGCACTTCTAAGATTTTCTAGAAGTACACTGTCGCAAGTAATGGCTTTAAAAATGTAAGGAGAGGAGAAACCATCCGTTGATACGAACTGGTATATGATTATACAATTTCACTTTGCATAGTAAATAAATAATTGCCTCCTATTCCACGTTGCTTTACTTCCGCTGAGTGTTGTATGTAAATTTCAACGTGTCCTACCGAACACTAACTTTACATACATGATTATGAATTGGCAAGCACTCGAGACTCAATATCTCGGAGACATGAAATTTTTCATGCAGCTGGTCGGTATGTGGCCATATCAGGAAAGATTCGCTAAACTTTCTACGCGACTTTTTTCATTTCTTGTGGTTATTTATGCCTTTATAACCGAGGTATATTTCTTCTTCACGATAGATAATGTTTCTCACTTGTGCCCTAAGTACAATTTTTTACGGACTGGAACAAACAAACATGAAATCGTAATTGATTTTTCTACTATAGGTATCGCGGGTAATAGTATTTTACAGTACGGAGGTGCTATTAGATCAGATGGTGTATCTGGACATAATTATAGGCATTTTCACTAAACAATATCATTACGTCCTGAATGCAGCGAAAGTGAGAAGCCAATCAATGTTTTAAAATGTCTCCGATAATTATCTTTGTCTTTACAATTGTAGTTAAAAGAACTTTTACGGGAAATCGTGGCTGACCGCATGTTGGAGTATCCGAAGGAAGAACTAGAGATTTTGGATAGTTACTTTAACAAGGCGACATACTTCTGCTTCGTCTATAAAGGTAATACAAGGGAAGAATAAAACTATTCATTACAAAAACTGCCAAAACAATAATCAGGAAGAGGAGTTAATAATTTTTTTATAATTTTTCCGCTAAAATTTTTAACACGTTTCGAAGTTGTTTCACAGAAATGTAAAATATATTCTCTCGAAGAGTATCACAACATCATTGAAATCGCTGAAATGTATCTGCTACTAATAATTGTTATTATATTTTACATTTTACACTCTTTGTTCTTAGGGGTCCTATTTTTTTCCGCACTGGCGTATCTCGTAACACCGACAATATCTCCTATACTGAATATCATAAAACCTCTGAACGAGTCACGAAGTTACGAATTAATCTACCCGGCTTATTATTTCGTTGATGAACAACAATATTATTTTGTCATAACAACGCATATGGCAATAGGAGTAGTAATATTAATTACTGTGTATGTCGCCGGTGATCTATGTTTGATTTATGTTATACATCATGGTTGTGCCTTGTTGACTATCAGCGGGTGAGTATACTTTCGTACGTGTGTATTTTTTTATCTGTTTCTGTTTAATTAAAGAAATGCGTGATCGACATCAACAAAGCGAAGAAATTCATATAGGAATATGTCGATTGGCGCTAATTTTTCAACACGGAGACACAAGAACAAAGTGTGAGGGATGTACAGAACAATTGTTCGGATTTTGCAAAATTGGCGAAAAGCCACATTGTTTAAATCTCTAGAAATCTCGTCATTATCTCGATGTCTAGAATGCATTCAGATAAATGTCATCTACTTTTATTTTTACTTTTTTATCTATTTTTTAACACGGATCCTTAACTACATGTGACCAAGATAACGATGTGCACAGATATCGTTTCAAACACGCGTTCGATGAAGTGAGTCAATCTGAAGAAAAAGACAACGACGTATTGCAGGACGCTAATGCAAAAGTGTGCCGAGCTATCAAGGGACACAAAAAGGCAATCGAGTTGGTATTGTTGCATATTAGACAATAATCAATGAATCTGTACCTTACAGATTATTTTATTACGTTAGATACGTTTAATTCTTTTGTTGCGTTAGATACGTGGATAAAATCGACAACTGCTACGTGCATTACTTCTTGATAATTTTGGGCCTGATAATCATAGCATTCACATCCACTTTCGTGAGGGTAGGTTTCAATGCACTAACAAAAATTTTATTGCGTTATTTTCTCAATAATTGCAAAACACATATTGAACTTTAATTGACAATGAATACAAAAAGCAGACACATTTAATTCTTTGTATTAATTTATCGAAGATAATTAATTTTTTCTATTGCATGCGTATTCTACAATAACCTACACTTTGTTGTATAAAATGGTGGTCAATTTTTCAGTTCTTAATCCACTAAACAATGTATTAAGCATTTTCAGCAGAGATGTACGTATGTATACATTTATCTGATGTNATAATGCGTGGATTAGTGCACAGTTTGTTAAACATACGTTGTTTAATTAATTCATGAAAATTAATGTAATGAATTGTTTTTATTTTCTGCGTATAGTTGTCGATGATGGAGAAAGGAACGACGTACTACGTATTTTGCATGTTCACTGTTGCCCAACTGTTTCATCTGTTCTTTCTGACGTCTTTGGGGCAATTTGTAATCAATATCCACGACGAAGTCTATCAATCAATGTGAGATCGATAAACATAGTTGTAGAACAATTACAATTTAATTTCAATAATTTCAATGTCAATTTGTTAAACACTGTTCTACGATAATTTCAATTGCTACATTAGTTGTAAGGATTACACTGCTTCAATAACATATTCCATTCAAGTCAACCTAAACTCACAATAAAATACGATATACAGATGCGGAGCCAACTGGTACAATGGCGCGCCGAAAACGCAATTGTTGTACGTACTGGTGTTGCGAAAATGTTTAAATTCGCCTGTACTAACAGGTGAACGATTGATCCCTTTGAATTTGTTCAGCTTCGTACAGGTTAGCTTACCAGTTCCGCAGACTATTGTTTTCAGAAAATAACTGATCATGAATATGACTCATTAACGATTAATTTTTTCAGATCCTGAAAGTTTCTTTTTCATATTACACAGTGTTTAACACGTAATGGTTTGAAGAAAAAGTAATGTAAAAATAGATTTTTATTACTCTATCACTTTTTGAGTAAAATATATGTGCTTTCTATGACCAGTACGCTTCTTTCACTGGATTCGAATGTTCGTTGATAACATCTGGTGTAACACAGAAAATGTAACATTTCTCTATGATTTCTTTCATTGCATTTTCTATCTTTTTCAAATACAACAAATCCCGCAGTGCTAATCGATACTATTGCGGACATATTCGTACACAGATCACGAAAAGTTTTTGGAGTATTAGCATGTGAAAATCGTTTTATGTTTGTCTTGTATTCAAAATATAAATATACAGGTCAAAATATTTAAAAAAGTATTATAATAAAGTATTTTCTCTTTACTATTTCAATCAGAATAGGAAATAGACATTCGTATCTGAACTAGTATAAATATTTCGTCTTGATCAAATAATCAATTACCAAAATTTAAACGTAAAAAAGATTTAAAAAGGAATAAACAATAATAACGTAATTAATTCATGAGAGATACGTATTTATATTTCAGTTGAAATTAAATGTGATCTACAGTTATAAATTATTAATACAAACAAATTAAAATTAATGTTAGAAATTAACAATACTGATTATAATTATAATTCACTGTAATCAATCGTTATAATCAATTAATTAATGATGTCAAATTCAGAAACTACTCCATCATTTGAAAGAATTATGCCTGGAATGTAGTAAACACAATAAAATATTTGAACACATTACAGTTTCGTTTTTCTTAAATATGTTAATTGTGGGATTCAGATTTTTTTCATCAGGTCGATTCTCGGATCTAGTTTCCAATTTGTTACGTGAAATTCGCATTAGTATTCAAATTACCGAGAGTAATTGTTTCATCAGCATCGGCTATTATTGTATTGATATTGGCATTGCTATTGGTATCGTAGAATAACGTTATTAATTAAGTACTAATGCTACCTGAAATGATGTGTTTCCAGATGTTGTAAAAACAAATGTTGCTTATCTTTCGCAGACTGATTTTAGGAATGAACTATTAGAATATAGAGATAAATTAGGCATAAAATGTTGTTATTTCAAAATACCTATAATAGAACAATGAGAATGACTTTTATTTCAACCGCGCGTGTACATGAATAATTGATGATGACTGTTTAAATGTTTTTGAAATTGATAATAGTTATTCGTAACCAAAAATCAGTTTTGTGTTGCAACTTTTATAATTGGGATTTCAATAAAGAATTATTTTATTATAATACGTACAGGTGTATCTAGAACCTGCAAACAGTCATTATACAGTAATATTAACATAAGTTATACAAATTCTTCCGACTTCGAAGGAAGCAAACAATTATTTAGTTACCGATTGATGCAACGAAGAAATTACTTCCCAACATATTGACAAACTTTGCTACCTGTTGCACAGTATCCAGCTAATATCCTGCGGTAGTACTGCGCCAGGAGTCCATTGCTGCGTGAACCTCCGACGCGTGCACGTTGTATAAATTGATTCTTTATGATGTTCCTAAATATTCGAAGTATTCAGAAATTTAAAACTTCCACAACGCCTATCTAAAACAGTTGAATCATTAATTTGTTAATTAGTGTGTAAACATGCATTGTGAATTGTCTTAGTCTCGTTTACTGACTTTGTGCATTGAAATAGAAATGAAGTGCTTGGAACGTAAATGACTTTCTTCTTCAACACGTCGCTACAGCATTTGCTCAGTTATTTTTGTAGCCTAATCAGTGTTAGTGCAAAGTGTGTTTGCCAAGATGTCGTAAACGTCAGTGCAATGGCAGAACTTGTGAGACGGAAGAGTCAGGAATTCACGAATCTGAGATGGGCGAAATTTCATTTTGTAATTTTCGGTTTAATAATCGGTGAGTAACATGATTTAAGTTTCTTGAGTACTTAAATTGTCATATTCATACACAGTATTTCTACTGTTATTCCTGTTGGCATTTTATGATTAGTTCAATCAAAATATGTACTTTGTAATTAGTTTAGTTACAATATGTATTAAATTCCTTTTTGTTTATTATACTCTTAATTTATTACACTAGATTAGTATCAAAAAATTGTTCGTGGTATATTGAAATTTTCATGGACATAATCTTAAAAAATACGAAGTTTTCCAAAACCGTTGAATTGTTATGTTCATGAATGAATTCAATGTAATCTTGAAGAATGAAGTTCTCATGTTGACTATAAAACGTCCTTTATAATTTATATACTACCATTGAACGAGAAAAAAAAAGTAAGAAAATCCTGACAATTGGTCATGAATATTCAAGGTCCAATAAAATGGCAAAGAAAATCAACAAGTTTTAAACAAACTCGTTGTAAAGGCGAGACTATTTCAACCTTAGAAGATCTAGTCATGAGAAATTTTTAATTTTATCACCGTTATTGTAAAACATTTAAACTTTAATTAACAGACTTACACTATGATTATAATGAACGTAATGGCCAGGATACACTCTTGTATATGTCTTATTTACAATTATAATTTTTCGTATTTATCAAAGGTAATTAACTTTTTTTGTAGTACATATAGTTCACAATAATATCTTTATAATCTTTTTATGAATTCTTTTTTGTATAAAATATTATTCAATTTTTTCAATTATGAAATGAATGTATAAGCGGAGGTATACATGTGTTTGACGTGTTAGTGCAAAAATATACATATATTTATTTGAATACAAATTCATCGTGACCATAGACTTCACTTTTATTAATATACGAAAATTAATTTCATAAATGATTTTATTGTCTGTGACTAGATATCAACGATGGAAGTCGGATCAAGGTACTTCACGTTTTGCGCGTTTACTGTTACTCAAATGGTTCATCTACTGTTTGTGATGGGACAGTTTATGGTCAATTCCAACGATGAAATCTTCCAAACAATATAGGATCGACACAAACATGACTCCAGGTAAAATAATAATTTGTTTTTATTTTCATTCATGTGCTATTTTTCACAGTAATATCTATATCTTTTCATTTTCCTACTTAACACCGACGTATTGTCGAATTTCACAATCAGCTTGTAAAATACGCATCTAGTACCACACTACCGACCAAAAGTTTGGAATCACTACGAATTTTAAGGAAAACTGAATATATTAAAGGAAATTACACATTTTTACAGGAACTGAGGATATTTTATTTATCAAAGCGTCTAGTAGACAATAATTTTTACATTTTCTTTCGTTTTTTTCAAAAAGAAACAGATTTATTTTTCTTAAATCGCCATTTCATTGAAAAAGGCGCCTTTGCTTCTAATGACTGCCTGACACATTCCGGACATCCTGGCAATGAGTTTTTTAATTGTTTCTAATTTTACATTCTTCTAGTATTCGCTTCTTGTAGTATTTGCCAAAGATGTTCCTTCGATGTTTGGTAGTGGAATCGGATATTGCTATCGATCTCTTCCCACAAAAGCTCGATTACGAATCTGGTGACTATGATGGCCATCTTATGTTTTCCAAAACCCCCTGCCTTCCTTTTAGCAATAAGAACTCTTTACACAATTTAGATGAGTGCTTAGGGTTCTTATCTTGATGCATAATAAAATGTCGACCCATTAAATGGCAATCTAGTGGTATGGCATGTTGCTCAAATATCTGCTTATAGTCCTCCTTTCTAATTGTATTCTCTACTTTTATCAGTTCTCCTACTCCAACGGCCGAGAAACATCCCCACACCATAACTGAGCCGCCACCATGTTTTACAGTCAGTATAATAAATTCTGCCAACATTTTCTGTACTACAGATCGACGAACACAACTTCAAATTTGAATTCATCGGTCCAAAGGTCTCTCAAACGTCCTCAAAAGTCCAATTTTTGTGACATTTTGCCCAATCCCACCGCATTTTGCGATTTTTTTTATGAGAGCAATGATTTCCTGACAGCTATGCAACCGTTTAAACCATCAGCTCTTAGTCGCCTTTTCATTGTCACAGATACTGAAGTCGGTCTACTATGAGTAAGATATGCACGAATTTGTGAGGCCATTAGCCATCTATTAAGTTAGCATATAATCTGTACTCCAATATCTTCAGCCTTCAACGTCATTCTGGGTCTTCCCGATTGTAGTTTGTCTTTTAAACAGCCAGAGCTCTCAAAAGACTTACCATACGCTGAACTCCTTTGTACAAGATCTTCAATTTGCATTCAATAAAGCACTTCTAGTTTCAACACTAATCTGTATCGTTTTGGCCATTTTCAAATATCGGAGCACAATTTTAATTGCTGATCTCAGTTGAATTCCTCCGTGACCGGGAACGACAACAATGTATTGTAAATGTGGCTTTTGTCAATGTTCTCAGTGTCAGCGTCAACTAACCGGCGTCTAATGTAACTAAACTCTCATTGGATAAACAAAAGAACCAGGTAGTCCTAGATAACACGAAAACAGATAGTCATTTTACGTGGTAGGAAGGTTCATGTTCAACGTTACTTTAAATTGGGATTATAATCTGTAATCAAGAGTATTTTCAATGCCACAACGCAATTAAATATCTTAAAATTTGTACATGCTTGTTAATACCTACTATACTAGCATCAGTGCGGAATGTATAAGAATATTCGATTTTGATAAAAATCTGCAAGTGATTTCAAACTTTTGGCCGGTAGTGTATGTAAATCTGCATGAAAATAAACTCTTTCAATTTGTAGAGTTCTTTCTATATGAAACACACGAAAATATTTCAATCGAGAAGCATTTGTGCTTGAAAAAATAGACGAAGGAGAATATTGGCCGAGTGATACAACTAGTATGAAAGCAGAGGGCAATTCACCAAAGTACTACACACAATACATATCAATTATTCCACAATACGAAACGTATTAATTTTTCATCTTCTGCATATGGATCTACTTATGCACTCATCGCATTATAGCTATTTTTCTTGGCACTTCTAAGATTTTCTAGAAGTACACTCTCGCAAGTAATGGCTTTAAAAATGTAAGGAGAAGAGAAACCATCCG